TAAAGTATGATGTTAAATAAATTAAGAAATTGAAGTTGGTTACTATTTTGGAGCAAAACTATGGATTTTTTTTAAAAACTAACATTAGTTTCTATACATGTAATGGTTAAGAAACTTTATAACATAAACCAACTTTCAATTTTCGAAATACAATTAAGAATATATGTTAATAGTCAATACTTACAATAAATATGCACCTACTTGCAATTAGGTTTGGTGATCAACATGATGAAATCGATCAACAGGATGCTTTTATCCAACCCACCACCTACAGAAAATCAGAAAAGGAATCAATTAAAACAGTAATAAATAATGAAGAGATAAATTAAGAAGAAATGAAACATTATACTTTAAAATAGCAACCAAAATTTTCAAATATGATGCAATAATAAACAAAAAATAGAGTTTGTTGTGTGTTATATCAACAAAAAGGCTGCCAAGAAAATGCTAATTTTAGGATAACTTTTCTGGACATTTTTTTGTGATTCTGTTAGGTGACTTTGGGCAACCGTTGTGGTGAAATTTCTTTTTTGAAGTCTTTAACATGAAACATCATGACAAAAGCTTGATTTGAGTCAATAAGCACAGTTTTTGGTAAAAGAAAATGTAAATTAAAGAACATGCTTTCTATTCATGGTAAACTACCACCAAATTCACATCTCACGGCTTTCAACGTTTAAGTCCCTGAAAAGAAATGATCCACCTCTTTATCTGTAAAAAAAATTTGGAAGGACTTAAATACCATTGAAAGAAACAAAATATAAGAACTTTAAGCAAATCTCACCATATAAATAGATCATGGGACATAAGATATAGCTATTCTTGTCCACATTAGAACTTATCCATTCATGATATTAACATTATATGAGCTCAAAGTCAAATCAATAATTGAATAAATAATCTTGTTTCGTTTTCCCAATGGTGGATGAGGATAGATAAATCCAAGTCAAAACCAAACCCACAAAAATAACATAATTTCTCATATAAAGCCAAAGATAAAAAAGAGGGGAGTGGTTGCATACCCACAACAAAAAAATATCCAAGCTTGTAATTTTCTTATACGTGCCTAATAACAGAATTTCATATCAACCCAAACTTTCCTGGAAAATCACCAAAAAACAAAAATGGTAACAATATATAGTTAGAGGGAATTAGTCTCTTCTAAGACATGTAAAACCAAAACTGATATTGTTATCAAACCTTTATAGAGTGAGGATGCAAGAAAATAAGCATATCTTAAAGTCTGATAGTGAATCTTTGTTTCCCACCAAAGCTTAGCCAAAAATTTGTGCTTCATGTTCCTTCGTTTTGGATTTTTTCTGTTAAACTGACACACACATAGTGAAACACACAATAAATATATCCAATACATACAGTTTAAAATAAAGCATATAGCAAAAAATCAATATCATATGTTCCAACTACCATTTGAAACCTCATGAAAAGGAAAGAATAAATGTCGTAATTGTGCATAGAGAAGATACAGAGGAGTAAGTGAAAGTGAAACATTATTGATTTGGAGAGGGAGAAAGATTGATAGAGATGTAGCGTTGCAGCGATGAAAACAGGAGACGACAGTTTTGTAATTTCGTATGATTGTTGTTGGTGTTTGTATATGAATGGTGCGAAGGCGGAGACAGAATGGTGGCACATTGGTGGTGGGGGAAAACATCTGGTTATTTGGGTGCAACGATGTAGACGAAGTGGTAGTCTAGGGTTTTGAGAGGAAGAACTGTAATCTTACGTTCGATCAACATTTGAAGTAGGGTAAAGTAGAAAAGTTCAGCGACGGGAAAGATGGGCCAGATTAGAGTAATTATAGCCGAGATATAAGTTCAGCGTGGGATTAAACTTACGGGTCAAAAGTCAATAAAAGATAAAGAAATCATGTAGTTGTAACTTCAGCTAGGACTATTTGAAAAATAATATTATTTTATTATTGATTACTTGTACCGTTAGCTTAATGGTTTGGACGTCTTAAAAATATATTATTATTATATTCAAACTATTTTTAGAAATAGTTAGATTTCTTTTATATATATATATATATATATATATATATATATATGTGTGTGTGTGTGTGTGTGTGTGTGGAACTATCAATGCGCCATATTGGAAGCGTAATACGCCATGTGAGAGGAGGGTGTGTTATCCTTGGAGATGATGTGTCATTCCTTGCATAAGATGCGTCATCATCTTGCTTGATGTACCATCTTGGTGCAAGGTGCGACATTTGGTTCCTTGATGAGCCATGGTATCTTTATGTGCCACTTATACTATGATGTCCTCTATGATACTCTAGATTGTTTAAGGTTGCTCGGAAGTTTAATATGCTTAATGAATACACCATGATGCGCCAAATGATGGTAGATGCGCCACTAATGTTCATGATGTGCCACTTGTGCATCATAATACTCCAATATGGCTCATGGTGATCCATCACGTGTGTTGTTAATGCTCATGCAATGCATATCAAGGATGAATGTTCCAAAAGCTACTGCATGTTGGATTGTGATTGGTTGACACCCTTCATGGGTCTATGGGCCAATAGGCTTGGGCAATTAGTGTTTTAGGTCTGATCCCTTCTCTATAAATAGGGATGCCTGCTAGTCATTTCAAAGTGTCTTAAATTCTAGAGTGATAGACGAATCTCTGTTGAGTTGTACCTGTCACCTCCATTTGAGAGCTCATAAATAAAAAAAATACTCCCCTCTTGCCTATAGACACAGGTCACCTTGACTGAACCATGTAAATACTATGTCTTGTGTGTTTTTGGTTTTTCTTGTTTTCTACATTACTCCATAAAAGTATTTTATAAGGTTTAATAGATTGGGGATGTTTAAAGAGAAAACTATATAGATAATGGAATGTTATTAAACTTTTTAGTGTTTTGGATTAGATGCCCTAATGAGAAGAACTATGATTTACAAGGCATATGTAGGATCCAAAATTTGGATCCTCGTGAAAACAACTCTTGTTGCTTCATATGAATCTGTTGTTGATTTTTAATTAAGAAAAAATTATTGTGTTTCTTGAAACCGAAGAACTCTTCTGTTAATCTCAATTGTTTTCATAGTTATTACATTGGAATTCTTAGAGACAAACACTTATAATCATAAACCCTTACAAGTTTTGGGTCGAGCCCATATACAAGTACATATGGAATAACTAAATGGGTCCTAAAGGCCATCACCCTACTCCAAACACTTATCAATTTAAAATATTCATTCAAGTTTCTTCACTTTGTTCGGGTTGAGTTACTTATCCGGGTCACCAAAATCCAAGTCATACTCTAACAATCTTCACATTAGCTTCAAATGTATTCCATTATCAAGGATTCTTAAGAGTCATCTCCTTCCTGTCGGTTTTTCGGAAGGACTTATATTATTCGAACATTCACCAAGTCCAAACAATGCTTGAACTTCTTAGGATGCTTGGTTACAGAACTCAATATTAGCTACTACTATGCAATTGTTCTTTTTTTTTCTAACTTCTTGCTAGCAGCAATAAAATTGAGAGCTTTTAGCTAGTAGTAATAAATTTGAGTCGGTTAAAAAACAATATATCATGAATTGGACATATTTTCTATTGGTGCAAAAGCTAGTGTATAATATTGTCTCTCATAATTAAAGATTCATTTCTAATCACTATACATGAATGTTATTCTGTATTTATCAGTATTGATCTTGTGAGAAAAAATTTGCAATTGTTTGTTTATTGGTGAATTTTAGAGAGCAAAAAAATTATTTGTAAGGATTTTGTTAGGATATATCAAATTAGGGTTATTAGTCAATTTCAAGAATATTATAAAGTTTTTACTATCCACGTTTATTTATCATACTCACTTGAGTTGATTTTTTTAGTAAAAGAGAAAAATGGCACCATACATGTTAAATGTAACTTGAAAACTAATAATTGAATGGATATCAACATGTGCGAACAAAGTGAAGAAACACCGCATCAAATATTAACAAGATAAGTGTTTGTACCGATCCTAAGTCGTACACGACAAACACTTATACCATGGGGTGCGGGGTCGTGACCATATTCTAGTTAGGGTAATGTGTGTACTTTTTCTATATGCAACGACTGATAGCTAGAGTTTTCAATTGTATTGTATTACCGTTTTCAATCTCATGAATATAATACTACTACATCCTACATATGGATGTAGGTCACACTGACCGAACTATATTAAATATTGTGTCTGTTTACATCTATGATTTTCTTGTTTGTTCATGTCACTACCTTTTCCTTGTATATTTTAAAAATATTATTCTTTTATTGATACGATTAATGTAAAAATACAAACAAAAAAATTGTAGAAAAAACCTAATAACCTAATAATTGAAATAATGAAAACAGACAAAACCTACAAAACTTAATAAAATAAACAAAAAACAAAATTGATCTTATGGAACCTAAAAACCAAAAAATTCAAATAGAAAAATAAGAATTATATGGTTTTTGTTTCTTAAAACAAAAAAAAAAAGGTTTTTGTTTCTACTTTTAATTAAACCAAAAAAATGTTTTTTGTTGTATTGAACCAAGCTCATTTCGTTTTACGTATAAGAGTTGATTCATACGCAACAAATTTTATCCATATACTACAATTTACGCTTTAAAATGTTGTATGAAAGAACTCTATAAAACATAAATTATTATACATAAAGAATAATTGTTGTGTATGAACCAATTTCTTTAAGTATCATAAATCTCATTGATTCATGTAGTTGTAACAACCGATTCTAATTAAATGACCTCACAACTAAAGTTGTATTCAAACAAATCTATTCATTAAATGAAAAAAATCCTTTTAGAGACTTATCTAAACGAGTCCATGACTTGTATACAACAGCATCACCTAATTTTGAATGTTGAACGTATTTTGAGGGTCAAAGGCTCGTTGTTGTTTGTCAAACACATGTTCACTATTCTTCGATGTATATGTACATGACTTACCACTGAACATTGTTCTCTTCAATGAATGATGATTGATGTTATGGTCGCTTATATACTAGTTCCTCTTCATGACATGCCCTAATGTTGATTTCCATTAATTTTTCTGACGATGAAGGCAATATATCACAACATTGTCGTCTAGGCGCCTGCAACTGTTTCCCAAAAAAAAACATAAAACATTAATACATTATAATCGTGATTTGTAGACAACTTTTGACCCTTTAAATTCAAACATGCATTTTTTTTAATTAGGTTGAATATTTTATTAATTGTTTATTATAGCATCTTATTTTTATTTCTTCATATTATAAAATTGTTCTTTGAAAAAATTACCAAATTATAACAATGTCATCCGAATTAAAAAAAAAAAATTCACTATTATGATTGGGTACATAGTATTTTTAAAGTAAAATGTCTTTATAAAATGAAAATGGTTAGTGTTAATGTTATGAGTTGTTAACATACTATTTTAGCTGCACAAAAATATCATTGTTTTAAATAAGCAACTAGAATATTTTGTTCACAAAATACCCTTATTTTAATGGTTATTTTATGAACAAAACGTTTCATTTTCTTACCTTGTGATAATTCTTCTTTAAACATGTGTGTTTTGTTAAGAAACAATAATTTGTTATCCATAAATGACACTAACCAAAAAAAAAATCTAATAGTACAAAGTTGTAATTCGATGGATTTTTCAAAACATAATGATTTAATAAGAAAAATAATTAAAATAGGATGCTCAAATAATAAGAAATGAAAATAAGATGTATTAGTAAACAAATAATAGAAAGTATGTTATTTTTCTTGCATTTAGTCCTTTAATTTTGAGTACATTCATTGATATTTTCTTGTATGTGGCACGAAATATAAGGCAATCAGTCAAGAAAAATCTTACTTGTTTCAAGTCGAGATTTAATTTTTGTGAATACACCTTGATCTCTTGGATTCTCCTTGGAGAAGTCATACCAAATGTGCAATTGTGTGTTTCCATGATTCTATAAACACTCGTAATCCCCTCTCTCTGTGAGTACACTCGATCCAAATGAAACACAACCGCTCTTCTACAAGGGTCGAGATGATGTTGTCTCATATCAAAGTTAAAAAATGTTTTAAAGGTATGAGTCCCTTGCCATGGTTGAAATGTCACAGGAACACGAAGGACATCTGGTAGAAGAACATGAACCCCAAACACCTCAATGGCATATCCCCATGAAATCGAAATTGTCCATGAATACCAACGATCATAGCATACTGTTTGTTGCAGGATTCGATGAGGATCTGCTTTTGCAGCTTCGTATAAGTGATGTAAGGCGTTTGTTTGTGCCATGTGTGGGAAAATTGGATCTATACGTTCCGGGTGGTGGAGAGATACCAACGGTTTCATTGGATGTGTCATTAATAAGCCAAACGCGTTTCCAGTGACATCCATCTAATTTATATTTATAGCATGACAAAAAAAATGATCATAATATGGTGTGGAATGATCATAATACGAGAGTTTTATGTGAAGATTAAAAAACTTTACCTGATGAAAACCGGGTTCAATGGTCACTGCAACACCCAGCTCAGCTAAACAAGATGAAATCCGACCATCACTACCATATAAATGCGCGTATCTTTCCAAACACGAGTCAAGAACCTTCGCTAAAACCTTTGCCAATGGATAACTTATCGCGAATCCGGCCCCACCATACGCCATAGAAAATGAAAAATGTCGGTTTTGCACATAACTCTCTGAATTTGATCCGATATAATACCATAGGTTATGATCGTATTTCGACAATGTCTTCACCAAGTTCTCTGGAAAGAACAAAGTATCATCGTCCCCAAACACAAACCACCTAAATCATAACATAAAAAGTCAAAAATGTAGATTATGTGCTACTAGAATATATATTGAGTATATATAAACGGAAATCTGTCGCTACTCGACGAATAGCAACGATTTCATTGTTCGCTAAAAGGATAATACTAGTTAGTTATTAGCGACAAATTCATTAAAAGTCAATGACCAATTACCTAGTTGATGTCTTATTTTAGCAACTTATTGGATCCATATCTATATATGTCTCCATCATAAAAGGTCAAAAAAGAAAATCATACACTACTCGAAAATATGTAACACTTCAGCAATGCATTAGCAAACGAGTCCATCCGAAAAGACTTTCTAATTATTAGAAACGGATTTTTTTAACATAGGCATACCAAAAAAAGGCCTTGCTAACTTTAGCGACATTTTTTTGAAAGTTACAGACCAAATCCACTTTTAATGTATTTTCAGACGTATCTAAATCCGTCATTTTTTCCTGATTTTGTAATACTGATAGGCACAATGACCAACAAGATATAAGAAAAACATGCATGATCTTTTAGTTTGGAAAATGATACATTTCATCTAACATCCGAATAGTTTAACCATGGATTACCAAAAGATTGTTCTAGCTTTTAACCATGGATTACCAAAAGATTCGTCGTGAATCCGCCATTGTTGTTTTCAGGTAGTTATGGGGATGATAATTAACGGAATACAAGAAAAAAACAGAGAGGAAAAAATTCACGATAGATTATAACGAGATAATAAAATTTACCTAACATTTGAATGATTTAAGGCGACAATTTCCGATACAACACGGGCAACACGGATAGCAGACCGAAGACCACCATTCCATGTATAATGAAACTTTGAGGTATCATTGGAGATGCAAATTGGAGGGAAGACAAAATCATAATCAAGTAAGGTGTCATTATCCAATGGAGCATCCATGAACACACAACCACGCATTGTATCAGGGTTCCACCACAAGTTAACATATTCTTTCCTTTTTGGCCATGCATTAACGGTGGATGCAATCCCAAAAACGATATGATCAAGGGAAGTGGGTACGTAGGTCGATTCTTGATCATCGTGTGATGAGATTCTAGTGTTTGAATGACCAGAAAACGAGGAAGATGACAGATAAAGAATCAGAAATACAATAGATGGGACGAAAAGAAGGGTTTTCAATCGAGAACTAATTAGGATTTTACTGGGTCGAGAACTTCGCATTTTAACGTATGTCAAGGTAGAAAGAAAAAAGGTTTGAAAGTAGATTGAATTTGTTTGAAAAAAGTTCAATGAATCATTTTGATTTGATTTGCACATGATAACGGGTAAAAACTTTGTCAAGAAATCGAAATAAGTCAACTTTTTTTTAAGACCCTTGAGTTTTAGAAATGACAAGTGTGTTAATGTTATTATTAATAGGCAATTAAAAAATCTGATTTGATGTAATTAAGTATTTAAGTAATTAAGTTGCAATATAAATTTGCAAATAATTCATTAAAATTTATATCACTTTTAGAAATATGATTTATTTATACAGATATTTATACATAAAATAAGAGGTTATTTGATAGTTGTTAATTGAGTTATATATATGATGGAGTAAGACATAGTCTTTTATCAAATCTACTAAGAGCCCTGTTAAAAGTTATAGAATCAGATTTTCTAATTATGGTATACAACCATTTGAATGTGTAAGTCACACCAACATCTTACCAAACGTAGGCTAAGACATATAAAGGGTTTTTGGCACTACAACACAATAAAGTTTGACGAATTTACATATTTAGTCACTCAAGTTTTTTTTTTGCGCAATAGACCATTAAAGTTAAATTTTACCTTTCAATTACATCATTATATAACCTATTACAGGTAGAGTCGGTTACTTTTATGACGTGGCATTTTAAATTAGATTTCTTCGTATCTTTTAAGGTTTTAAAGTCCACGTAAGCTTGTTTTTTTGTTGACTTAGCATTTAATTGGAGCCATCCATTTCAGTTTGGGAAAAAAAATTGTGTTTCTTCCTAAGAACCATCGGCATTCCATTTCAGTTTGGGAAAAAAAATTGTGTTTCTTCCCAAGAACCATCGGCACCAATGGTATCTTCATTTCTCCACATCAAGGCCTACCATTTTCTCCGGTGAAAGTTAAAACCTATGCCCAACACCTTTAAGGAAGAAAGTTATGTTCCTAGAGCCCGTGAAGTCTAGTCCTCGTGAAGCCTGTGCAGTCTCCGGCCACCGCTGGTTAAAGGTATGTTGGAGTGTTATTGACCAGCAAAACACGTATTCATCTGGTCTCAGAAATCGTAGCCACCGCCACCATGGATCTTGGGAAGAGACGGTTTCCTTCTGACGGTTCACCTTCCTAAAACAATCGAAACAATATCTCAATCGACACTATCGAAAGCTCTATCAAAACCAGTCATTCATCATCGAAAGCAAAATTCAGTTCATCATTCGAACCATGGATTTGAGCAACAAACTCGAAAAAACATTCACCCATCGAAAATCCAAAATCGAACTCATCTGATGGTTTTTAGATCAAAGATGAGATTCAAAGTATAACAAAAACCCAAACACACCTATCGACAAACAACTTATAACAAGATTCGAGATTCAAACTGCAATTTGGGAAAAGAAGCACAAAATCGTACTTCAATTTGGGAAAAGAAGCACAAAATCGTACTTCAATTTGGGAAAAGAAGCACAAAATCGAACTGCAATATAACAAGATTCGAGATTCAAAGTTCAGGTGGGCGTCAATTTCAATTTCACATACTGAGGTGAAGGGAAAAGCGTTGATTTTAGATTCGAACTTCACATTTTTATGTATCGAGCAGTGGTGGAGAGCGTCGGAGGTGAGGCGTTGCAGGGAGGTGGTGTCGCGAGAGATGAGGTGTCACCGGAGTTGGTTTCGTCGGAGGTGAGGTGTCGCAGGAGGTGGAGAGCGACAACGGTAAAGAACGAATGGATTTTAGGGGCAGAGGGTCCTGCGAACTGCTTTTTAAGGAGTAGGGTTTCATAGTATTTATTCATATATTATGATCATAACTTAAGGAAATAAGGAAAAAAAAGCCACATATATTTAGATTTGATTTTTAATTTTGGAAAAAAAAAAGCCACCTAGATTAAGGCTAACCGATAAACCGGATAAAATTCCGTTCAATCCCTTAATTAGACGACCATTCTTAACTTTAATGGTCTATTGCACACAAAAAAACTTGAATGAATAAATGTGTAAATTTGTCAAACTTTATTGTGCTACAGTGCCAAACACTGGAAACCGATCATTGATAAGTTCAAATCGAAGTTGTCGTCATGGAAATCCAAGTCTCTCTCATTCGGTGGACGCCTAACTTTACTCACATCGGTACTTGGTAACCTTCCTACATACTACTTTTCCTTATTTATTGCCCCTGTGACAGTAACAGAAACATTAGAGACAATAAGGAGACGGTTCTTATGGGGCGGTGATGAAGAAAAAAGAAGGATTCATTGGGTCTCTTGGGACAAAGTGGTGGCTTCGAAATCTGCGGGTGGTCTCGGGGTCAGTTCAATACGCGCGCTAAACATTAGTTTAATAGTTAAGTGGTGGTGGAGATTAAAGACGGAGAAATGATCATTGTGGGGACGGGTTGTAAAAGGTATGCATTCCCTTGATAATAAGCCACATGATTATATGTCCAACAGAAACATCACATGGGTGTGGCACAACATTGCATCAATTCGGAAAGACCTTATGAAACATGGGTTGGACATTGGTGATATCTTTCAACTTCAAGTACAATAAGATGACAACTCCCAGTTCTGGTACGATAAACGGGTGGGTTCGGAAATACTTAAAAACAAATATCCCTCTCTATTTGAACTTGAATCGAGGAAGCGATGTACTGTGGTTGATAGATTCTATGATGGATCATTTGAAGGACATTGGCACTCATGCCCTAGTCACTTGGGGTTGGTAGTAGACATTGATAATCTCAAACTGGATTTCTCCAACGTGCAACTGGTTCATGGCGATGAAAAATGGTCATGTAAATTGGATAGTAATGGAGAATACACGATATGTGCATTAAGGAGGAAGATTGGTAAATATGCAGTTCCACATCCCCCACTGCATACCATCACTTGGTGTAAAGAAGTACCTTTAAACGTAAATTGTTTTGTGTGGAGGGCGTTACAAAATAAAATCCCAGAATTTGAGGCGCTGAGATTATGGGGTGTTGTTGTTGCATCGACTTTATGCGGCTCCTGCATTAACCAATCTGAAGATGCTGACCATATTCTCATCCGATGTCCATATGCTTGTGCAGTGAGGGACAAGATATTCCAATGGTGTGATGTGTCAAATCATGATTATAACAGTTTGGGGGATATGCTCAACTTTATCACCAACATTGGTGGAAGCTTGAGACAGAGGCACAGGTTATTAGTTATATCATATGGTCTTACTTGGATCATATGGAAATATCACAACGACCGCATCTTCAACCAAAAATTTCTATGTCCCAACTAAGGTGCAGAACTAGTTAAATCTTTGGTTCATTTTTGGATCAAGAGCATGGGATCTGGTGGGTTCTGTAGGTTGGGAGATTGGTTATCTTCTCTTTTCAATGTTTATGATTCTCCTTGTTTATTTTCTTAAAATTTGTAAACCATAACTCTTTGTACCGTTGTTTCTTGGCTCCCTCCTAGTTACTTGCTATTTGGGGCCTTCTTTTATAATAATTGTCGTTAAAAAAATGCAACACTTCTAAGAAGTTACATTTGCTCGACAACATAATTCCATGCAAACTAGGGTTTAGGAGTATCATTAGAAAAATCCACATTGACACTAAACCAAGCTTTAACAAAATGGACCTTCAACCTTTAACGGAAATCAAAAATAGGTAGTTCTAAAAGTACCTAAAGACTTATACTTGAAAACCAAATTTGGATGTAGGAATAGATTTTTTCAAAATCTTATTTTTGAATGTCACCCTTTTGCACTTTCCATGTTGAACCAAAGGAGAGGTTGTCAAAAAAGTTAGCGTAATTTTTAATGAATTGCCATGAACATAGAAGGGGTCACCAGACTTTCTCAATTCGATTTTAATCATAAATCTAGAACTTTTTTGATCTTCAAAATATTGTCTCCGCCTGAATATTTGTAACCATTTTCGTCAAAGACTCTTAATAAGATAATATTTCTCTTTATCATATGATTATATCTTACATTAGTTAAAGTTCGAGTTATGCCATCGAACATCTTAAAATGGATAGTGTCGATGCCTTTAGTTTTGCATTTGGAACCATCAAAACAATGAAGTGAGTCAACATTGTGAATTGGTTCAAAGGTAATAAACCAATATTTATGAGAACACATGTGATAACTGCAAATATGAATCACGAACCTATTCATCATCTATACTTCTAGCAACAATAGTAAGAAACTCTCCATCAGAATAATTGTCATGAGCATAGTGTGTATAATCATCATTACGCTTTGATTTATTTGAGACATTCATCTTTAATAGGCATGTCATTTAAAAAGACAATCATAGATGTGTCTAAGAATGGTTAACAACCATGATTCAGTAGTTCGATAAATGATTATATCTTACATTAGTTAAAGTTCGAGTTATGCCATCGAACATCTTAAAACGGATAGTGTCGATGCCTTTAGTTTTGCATTTGGAACCATCAAAACAATGAAGTGACTCAACATTGTGAATTGGTTCAAAGGTAATAAACCAATATTTATGAGAACACATGTGATAACTGCAAATATGAATCAAGAACCTATTCATCATCTATACTTCTAGCAACAATAGTAAGAAACTCTCCATCAGAATAATTGTCATGAGCATAGTGTGTATAATCATCATTACCCTTTGATTTATTTGAGACATTCATCTTTAATAGGCATGTCATTTAAAAAGACAATCATAGATGTGTCTAAGAATGGTTAACAACCATGATTCAGTAGTTCGATAAATGTTGCTAACGCTTTTATTAATCCAAAAGGTATAACAATGAACTTGTAATGTATATGATTAAGATCGGTGATGCCAACACAAATTGACTTCTTTGATCTTCTTAAATCTGGACCTCAAACTAGATATGTACATATGGATTGAGACAATTTTGTACTCAGCAAGTACTCGGAATCAACCTTCGATAGAGGCGATTAAAGGAAATTGATCAAAACTACTTAGACTCGGACCAACCCATTCAAATTCG